GTTATTATATGAAATGCTGAAGGGTCTTTTTGAAGAAAAAGATAAAAAATATGAAGAAACAAAATGGCAATGAATACATAGCTATCGACAATGGAATCTACAAACAAAATGAACAGGCAGAACAGAAACATTCTCATAGATACTGAGAACATTTTGTTAGTTGCCAGATAGAAGGAGGGTTGGAGTAATGGGTGAAAAAGGTGAAGGGATTAAAAAGAACAAATTGGTTGCTAGACTGACAAACTTCAAAGGGATGGGGGGTTGGGGGTGGGAAGAAATAAACCAAAGAACTTATATGCATAACCAAAGGACACAGACAACAGTGTGGGAAAAGGCAGGAGGGGGGCAGGAGTGGGGAGGAGGGGGTCAATGGGGGAAAAATGAGTAACATCTATAATACATTCAACAATAAAGATAAAAAAAAAAAAAGAAATTGGACTTTCTCCCCTCAAGTACATTGTGAAGCCATTGAAAAGTTTTAGACAAGAGGTGAGACATAACTGCATTTACATTTGAGAATGATCAGAAAAGTATCATCTGCAGAAAGTGATAGAGCTCGTTCTCTCCTTTTCCTACCTAGTTTCTCATTTCCAGTTTTTCGAATTTATCAGAGGAACAATATACAGAATGAGGGACTTAGTAGAGAAATAACCATATGCAATGCTTACGGGTTTTATTTCCACTTGGATATCCTCTATCACTTCAAATTTGACATATTTAACACAGAATTCTTCCTCTTACATCACTATTACTTTTACATCAAAGATACAAAGAGCAAGCAGAGAAGAAATGAAGATTTCCCTTTGTATTTCCAATCTTCTCTCTGTTAGGTTCTGCAAACGGGAGCAAACAGGGAGCCACTTGGCGAGAGGAAACTGTAGCTTGTAAAGTCCCAGCCCAGCCCCAGCATCATGTAGAGTAGAGAAGGATGGATTGTTGATGAGAGACAACATGACAGTAATTGTACCCCTAGTGATGGTTGCCTTCCCAACTTCTTAATGCCTTAAACAAGAACACTTTTGTCTCCCTATGGATCAGGTTATGAATTTCTCTGAACTGTATATTTAGGAGTGGAATCCCATACATAGAACCATGGGTTACTTAATTTCCTGACACGTTGCTCTCCAGAATGGCTATGCAACTTGACACTCCTTGCAGCAATGTTCAAGGTTGCAGCTTCCTCATATCTCCTGAGCACTTAATATTTCTGATTTTCTAATTTTTGCCCTTCTCTTGTATGTAAGATGCTTCTCACTTCAATTGCATTTCTCAGATTACTACTGAGTTGGAGCATTTCTTCATAAATTTATTAGTCATTCAGATTTTCTTGTCCATATATTACCTCTTCACACTTTTGCCTGTTTTTCAATTGGGTGTTCTGGTTTTCTCTTCTGATTTGTAAAAGTTCTCAATAGCAACCCCTTGTAGGTTTTAGATACTAGAAATCCTTTCTCATAGGCTGTCATCTCTTTATTAACTTTGTCTGTAGCCCTTTGTTAAACAGTAAGTAATCTTTAATTGTGATGTAGTCAAACCAGTTAGTTTTTTACTTAATGGTTGGTGGTTTCTGGGTCTTTCTAAAAGAGATCCTTCTTTACCACAGGTCACACAGATAATCTTCTGTATTTTCTTCTATAAACTTTATAATTTTATCTTTTACATAAAAGACTTTAATCCATATGAGTGTTTTTTAATTGTGGGAAAATCCAGCTTTAATTTTTGCTAGTGAAGTGGATTTTCCAGCACCATTTGCTAAATAATTCGTCCTTTCTCTTCTGATTTGTAATACAGTTTTTATCATACACCTCATCTCATATGTATGGGTCTGTTTCTTGGTCAATTTGTCAATCAGTACCATATTATTTTTTATTATGGCTTTGTAATGTGTGTTAATATCTGGTTGATGAATTTCTCATTTTCTTCATTTTAAAATTTGTATTTAAATATTATTTTAGAGTCAGTTTGCTCCTCCATCAAATTCTGCTGGGTTTTGTTTTAAGTTGTACTGAATTTACATATTAATTTGAGAATTAATATTTTTATAATGTTAAATCATTCTACCTTAAAATATATTTATCCATTTAGTCAGGTTTTCTGTCTTTTATTTAAAATTTCTAGATGCATCCAGTCTTTGATAAGTTAATGCCTCGATTTTTTATACTTTGAGTTGCTGTTATGAATGGTAATTCTTTTAGGTCATCATTGCTGGTATTGAGGAGCACAGTTGAATTGTGCCTTTTGATCTTAATTTAAATCTTGCTGAATTTCCTTATTAGTGTCAGTGGTTTGTCAGGTGAAACTCTTGGATTCTCTTTCATTTGTATTTATAGAGTTTAGTTTCTTCTATTTAATTTATGCCTCATTTATTTTTTTTATATCTTTTTGCACTGATCAGACTTCCAGCTACTATGTTGAATATTAATTGCTATGGGGTGTCATTGTCCTGCTCTCAGATACCATCCTTATATTAACTTGTGTTAATTTTTAACTTGGTAAATGTTAACTTTGTACTCTTCCCAACTATGTCCTTAAATGCAGACATTTTGTACTAAAATTATCCGCATTTGTGGTAGCATCAAGAATAGTGTTCAGTTTATAGTATATTTTCAGTACATTTATTGAATTGATGAATGAATCTGGGCATTTACTTGTCACTTTATTTATTATTTTGGGAATTTTTTTATGGTGATGAAAATGAAAAGTATTTTCATGTTATATGCAGTTATATTAATCAGAGTATATGTTTAAATATGCTTGTATTGTGAGGTATTCAATGCTCTTAAACATACCAGTATACTATAGTATAAAAGCTATTTGATACAACCCCTATTATTTTATTTTTAAATTTATGTTCTTTTTTTAAAAAATGTTTTTATTTACTTTTTAGAGAGAGAGGAAGAGAGAGAGAGATAGAAATATCCATGTGAGAGAGATACATCAGTCAGCTGCTTCCTGCTCACCTCCCACCAGGGATTGAGCTTGAAAACCAGGCATGTGCCCGACTGGGAATTGAACCAAGACCTCTTAGTCCATGGGATGACACTCAATTAACTGAGCCACAACAGCTGGGCTTGATGTTCTTTTTTTAAAAAAAATAAGTTTTTATTGATTTTAGAGAAAGAAGAAGGGGGAGAGAGAGAGGGAGAGAGAGAGAAACATCAGTGTGAGAGAGAAACACAATCAACTGCTTTCTACATGCACCCCTACTGGAGATTGAGCCCACCACCTAGGCATATTCCTGACCAGGAATTGAACTGCCAACCTTTTGATAGATGGGATGATACTCAACCAACTGAGCCACACTGGCCAGAGCAATTTGATGTTCTTAATTACAAAATTAATAAAACCACATTATAGCCCTGGCCAGTTTGGCTCAGCAGTAGAGTGTCAGCCTGTGGACCAATGAGTTGCGGGTTAGATTTCGGCCAAGGGCATGTACCTCGGTTGCAGTTAGTTCCTGGCCTTGGTCAGTCGGGGTCATGTGGGAGGCAACTAGTCAAAGTGTCCCTCTCACGTTGATGTTTTTCTCTCTCAATCTTTCTCTCCCTCCCACTCTATCTGAAGATAAATAGAAAAATATCCTTGGGTGAGTTTTAATAAAACAAAACAAAAAACCACATTATAAAGTTTGGAAAATAGAAAGAAAATCATGTACCTAAACCCTACTAGCTTGATACAGCTACCATTTCCATTTTATTATATTTCTTTGCAGTCTTTTCATATACTTCTGACTTCCACAGCTCTGATGTATAAATAATATTGTATTATGCATTTTCATTTAGTATTTTGTAATAATCAGTACCTAGTAAATTACTGTCCAATGGTAGGGCAAAGGGGTAATGGCCACCATAATGAGAAGATGTCTTCAGCCTGAAAGACAAAGCAGGCAATTCCATAGAATATAACAATGTATTATATGGTACTTCACATAGGGGAAGATTGGGCTAGACTGGACAGAGGGCCAACAGTTTTGCACAAATTATTTTCTGCCACTAGACCCCTGTTACAGTACTTTTTAAATAGTATAACTTGGGTACTAATGATTGACAAGACAAAGGGACAAAGAATGCAGTAGTGCCAGGGGCCATACCTCCTGGTGGTCATGTGATAGATCATTACTTATAATTGATAGTATTACCCATTTGATATTTATCTTGGTTGTCATTGCTATTCTGGTTGTTGCTATTAAAAATGTTTATGGCACCCTGGCCAGTGTGGCTCAGTTGGTTGGAGTCATCCTGTGCATCAGAAATTTGCAGGTTGATTCCTGATCAGAGTACATACCTAGGTTGTGGGTTTGATCCCTGGTTGGAGTTCGTATAGGAGGCAACCGATGGAAGGATCTCTCACATCGATGTTTCTCTGTCTCTCAAATCAATTTTTAAAAAATTAAAAAAATATATATATATTTATTTATTTATGGCTACATTTTAAAGAACACAGATAATCATCAACTAGAAAGCTTTGCTATGCTTGCTAAACATAGTGAAGTTTCTCAAAGGTCACAGCATGAAAACTTAAAACTGAAATGAAATCTGGAACACAGAAATGGAGTTGGTTTTGTTTACATCTATATCTATACAGTTGTCTTAAGAGATGCTTGTTGAATGAATAAGCTTTTTATAAGAATTTTTCCACATTTTTTATAACCATAAATTTTAATATCTGTGTAATAATTTATGAAATAGATACAGCATAATTTATTTAACCATTTCCCTATAACTGGACATGTTGTAGTTGTTAAAAAGTTTTTCTAAATTAATAGTGCTGCAATTAACATTTTCATGAATAGAACCCCCCCCAACCCATATTTACTTATGAAGTTACTTCTGTAGGCTAGAATCATAAATATTCATGGTTCTTGATACATATTGCTTTTCATAAGGATTATATCAATTTATAGTGGCATTAATGGCAAATGAGAGTGGTTTCATTGTTAAGATTTTGCTGAGTTGTATCTGTGACCTCTGTTTTTTTGTTCTGTGTTTCTTTCAGATTCTTGTCTTTTACTTTTTACGATGTCTTCTGGCTTTTGTGAGCTGTATCTGTGAACTTTACTTTTACAAGTGAGTATAAAAGCTTTGCTTCTAAAAGTGCTATGAGGAAGCCCAATGTAGCATAGATTATTTTTCTGATAGTATTAGCAGTGTTTAGAAATAGAAAACTCTTGCTAGCTCCTAATATTATATCTAAAATGCAATCTTTTGTATGCAACAAACCATTTGAAGGAGAATACATCTAATTAGCACTTTTTCCCCTGAATTTCATAAATACCATATCTTCATATTAACATTAATTCTATTACTACATATCTAACTAGTCTTCTATTTGGTAGGATTTAGTAGAGCCTTACTTTGAGTCCTAAATATAGATAGGATCAGATTTACCACTTCCCTTCAAGTTTAACTGATAGGAACTTAATCCCAGTGTGGAACTCACTGCTCTTATTTGTAACCACTAAGTTCACTTCACCAAGTACCATTGGTTGATTGAATGTTAGTGGAAGTAGTAAGCAATTTAGTGTTCCACTAATAAAAATTAGCTACATTTTTTATATGAAACCTAACAAACATCTTATTTTGATGATGCTATAAAAGGTATTTTCGCCCTGGCCAGTTTGGCTCAGTGGTTAGAGCGTCGGCCTGCGGGCTAGAGAGACCCGGCTTCGGTTCCTGCTAAGGGCATGTACCTCGGTTGCAGTTTGTCCCCAGCCCTGGTTGGGTCATGTGGGTGGCAAGCACTCGATGTGTCCCTTTCACGTCGATGTTTCTCTCTCTCTCTCTCTCCCTCCCACTCTATCTGAACAAAATATCGAAAAATGTCCTCAGGTGAGGATAAAAAAAAAAAATTAAAACAACAAAAAAGTATTTTTACTTAATAATCACTATTAAAAATCTTGCCCTGGCCGGTTTCTCAGTGGTTGGAGCATCAGCCCACGGACCAAAGAGTTGCCAGTTCAATTCTAGCCAAAGGCACATATCTTGGTTACAGTTCGTCCCCTGCCCTGGTTGGGGTCGTGCAGGAGGAAGCTAATCGGTATGTCTCTCTTACATTGGTGTTTCTCTCTTTCTCTTTCTCCCTCACCCTCTATCTGAAGATTTAAAAAAAAAATCTTCCTACTGCAAAGCATCTAAAAATGTCAGATAAAAAAATCTTGGACCTTGACTCTGGGTACAGTAGAGGAGAAAAAAGAAAGCCAGTTCTACCTTTGAGGATTATAACAAAAAGTTGGTCTTCATATGAACTCAGGACTGAATTCAAATCACACACATGGTCCCCTAACCCCCAAATTGAGAATTTGTTTTAAATTATTCTGGGCTGGTAGTGCCCCCAGGCAGTTTACAAAAACAAATGTAAAATTTCTTTAGAGGAGTGAATTCTTTTTTTTTTTTTTTTTTTTTTTTTTTTATCCTCACCCGAGGACATTTTTCCATTTTTTGTTCAGGTAGAGTGGGAGGGAGAGAGAGGAACAGAGAGAGAGAGAAACATCGATGTGAAAGGAACACATCGAGTGGCTGCCACCCGCACAACCGACCAGGGCCGGGGACAAACTGCAGCCGAGGTACGCGCCCTTAGCGGGAACCGAACCCGGGTCTCTCAGGACCGCAGGCCGACGCTCTAACCGCTGAGCCAAACCGGCCAGGGCTAGAGGAGTGAATTCTTAACCCAGGTGTCAAAGAATTACCACAGGTAAAGTTTTAGTGAACAAAAAATTACAATAAAAATAAATCACAGAGCCCTGGCTTGTGTGGCTCAGTTGTTTGAGCATTGTTCCATGTACCAAGAGATCACTGGTTCCATACCCAGTCAGGGCACATGCCTGGGTTGGGGACTTCATCCCCAGTAGGGGGCACGCAGGAGGCAGTGTTAGATGTTTCTCACATTGATGTTTCTCTCTCTCTTCCCCTGTCCCTTCCTCTCTCTCTAAAATCAATAAAAATGTTAGAATAATAAATCACAGAGCACAAAAGGGAACAAGACACTATGACTGAAAGTCAGCAGACATAACAACAGAAAGCTGACCTATAAAACTTCATTTATTAGGAATTATTAAAATATGAATGTAAAATAAGTATATTTAATATTTTTAAAGAAATAAAAGAGGGAATTGAAAACATGAATCAGAAACAAGAGACTAATAATTAATAGAGTGAAAAGAAACTTACAAAATAGGGGAAAAATAACTGCAAACCATCTATCTGATAAGAGGTTCATTTCCAAAATATATAAGGAACTCCTACAACTCATAGCAAAAATACTGTTAATTTGATTATAAAATGGGCTAAGGACTTGAACAGACATTTCTCCAAAGAAGGCATAAAAATGGCCAATAGATATGTGAAAAGATAATCAGTGTCACTAATCATCAGGGAAATGCGAGTGGAAACCACAATGAAATTACTTCATACCTGTTACAATGGCTATTGTCAAAGAAAACAAAGACAACAAATGTTGTGCAAGAATGTAGAGAAATTGCAACCTGCACACTGTTGGTGGGAATGCAAAATGGTACTGACACTATGGAAAACAGTATGAGGGTCCTCAAAAAATGAAAAATAGAATTACCAGCAATCCCTCTTCTGAGTATTTATCTAAAATAATTGAAATTGGAATCTCAAAGAGTATTTGCACTTCCATGTTCATTGTAGCACTGTTCACAGTAGCTAAGATTGAAAACAACCTCAATGTTCATTGACAGATGAATGGGGAAAAAGGTGGTATATTACCATGGAATATTATTTAGTCTTAAAAAAGAAGGTTTAACATGGATGAACCTTGTGGACGTTTTGCTAAGTGAAATAACTAGTCACAGAAGGATGAACACTGTACGATTCCACTTATATGAGGTTTCTAAAATAGTCATATGGAAGCAAAAGCACAGAATTGTGGTTGCCAGGAGTGGGGGAGGAGGAAATGGGAAGTTGCTAATCAATGGATATACAATTTCAGTTACACAATATGAATTAGTTCTAGAGATCTGCTGTACATTATGCTAATAGATAATAATACTATATTTTATACCTAGAATATCAGTTAAGAGAGTAGATCTCATATTGTGTTCTTACCACAATAAAATTAAAAAGGTAAAAGAACTAAGACTACACAAATAACCAGGCAGATTTGCAGAAGTATCAAACAGAACTTCTATAAATGAAGATATAATCATTGGTATTTAAAATTCAGTGGAGAGTTTAAACAGATGATTAGACATTGCTAATAAGTAAACTAGAAGATTAATCTGAAGAAATTACTAAGAATGCAGTCCAGAGTGACAACAAAAGGAAATTTAAAAGAGGTTAAGAGTGTTCATTGTCACCTGGTCGGTGTGGCTTAGAGGACTGAGCAAGGTCTGATGGACTGAGAGGTCCCATGGACTGAGAAGTCCCAGTTTGATTCCTGGTCAGGGCACATGCTGGAGTTGTGGGCTCGACCCCCTTTAGGGGGCATGCAGGAGGCAGCCAGTTGATGTATGTCTCTCATATCGATGTTTCTGTTTTTCTCCCTTCCTCTCCCTCTAAAAAAATCAATGAAAACATTAAAGAAAAATAGTGAAATTAAAAAAAAAAAAAGTTCATTGCCACACTTCAAAATATCCAAAATTGGAAACAAACCTATATATCCTCTGACATTGTGTACAGTAGAGTTGAAAGATCTGATGTATATCTAATCAGATTCTAGGAGAAAGAATGGGAAGAACCAGTATTCAGGGAGATAATAGATACGAATTTTCCAGAATTGATGAAAAAATGTGCTAATCCACAGATTCAGGAATTAAAAAGGAATAAGAAACTGTGTAGAACTTCAAGAACAAAGATCTTAAAAGTTGACAGTTAAACTTAATAGATTACCTATAAAGGAATGTTCGGCAGTTAGACTGACAGAAACCTTCTCAAAAGCCAAAGATAGCTCTGGCTCAGTGGTTGGAGCATCAGCCCCTCAGACCAAAGAGTCTCAGGTTCGATTCTGGCCAGTGGCACGTACCTTGGTTTCGGTTTGGTCCCCAGCCCTGGTCGGGGAGGCAACTGGTTGATGTATGTCTCACATGTCGATGTTTCTCTCTCTCTCTCTCTCTCTCTCTCTCTCTCTCTCTCTCTCTCTCTCTCTCCCACTCTATCTGAAGATAAATGGAGAAATGTCTTTGGGTGAGGATTAAAAAAAAAAAAAACCAAAGACAAAAAAAAGTAGTATCTTCAAAGTGCTAAGAGAAAATGACTGTCATCTTAAAATCGTATACTCCACTAAACCATCTTTTAAGACCAAGAGCTAAATAAAGACTTTTCAGACAAAATACAAAAGAAAGAAAAAGAAACCAAACAAAAACAGAATTTACCATTAACAGAGCTTCACTAAAGGAACTTCTAAAGGATATATTTAGGAAGAAGCAAAATTATTTCAGAAAGAAGCTCTGAGATGCAATAAGGAACCTGAGAAATAAAATGTTTCACATATGGGTATGTCTGAACAAATTTTGACTTAATGAAGTAATAATAATTTCTAATAATATTTCATTTATAGGGTTTTTGAAAACATACAAGAAAGAAGTAAAAAGAAGTGTATAATTGATTGCTTAAATCTGAGAAACACTGACTTAGATAACGACTTACTAATGCTTTGGTGTATCTCATAGTCTTTTTCTGATTACTACCATTTATTGAGCAGCTGTATGCCAGGCACTCTTTTAAGCACTGTACCATGTATTGTCCTCACAGAGACCTCACAAAGAGGTATTATTATCCTCTTTTTACAGATAAGGGATCTGACAGAATGATTATATAACTAGACAAGGGTGTCACTGCTAGTAATTGGTGGACCCCAAATTTGAACCTGTGCCCATCTGAGTCTGAGGCCTATTATTTTTCCACAAAATCATGCTGTTTTCCTATAATTAATAGACATACCCTTAGCACGGGAAGTATACATTCCCTATACGCACGAACATTGCTAACAAACCTGTGAACCCCATTTGGTATTTGACTTTAGATCAATTTCTCTCTGATGCAGGCATGATTTTGTCTTTTGACTTGAAATTTCCATTCCTAAGGTTTGCTGTGCTGAGAGTCTTTGCCTTTCTTCTAGGGCCGTGTGCAAGAAGTTTGGGCTGCATGTGAGTCGAATGATGCTAGCCTTCTTGGTTCTCAGCACTGGCATGTTCTGCTCATCTTCAGGTAAGTGAGGAGCAGGTGAGGACCTAACAGGTTCACTGATATTTCACAGTTGCATCAAAAGAAAGAACTTGGCCAGATATAGGTTATATCTGTCATATAACATCTGTCATATAGGTTATATTTGTCATATAACATGTCAGTAATTTGCAGGCTACTCTTACCTACACAAACTTGATTGACCTTTACAACATTAAGATATGTATTTTCTCATTTTTGCTGGAGCTTTGATGAAATGACTCACTCAAAGTCAAACAGTTCCTAAGTGGTAGAGCCGTTGTTTTCATCTGGTTGCTTTCTGTTACATTGTTGTACTTTTTTGTTACTGCAAGACTGAAAAACAGGCACCCCATGCCTTTCTTTGTTGTTCAGGGAAGGAAAACCGTTTTTTTATTTTTCTCAAGAAAGCTTTTGTGCCTAAAAACCCTGTTCTTGATGGTTCTCCTCTCTGCCTAATATTTGCAATGTATTCTCTAAAGGTATACATCTTCTGTTGGGCTTTTTTTATACCAAGCTTGTAGAAATTGAGAATAAAAACCTTAATCCAGAGTGGTAGCTTTCCAGCTGGGCTGCCAGAGAACATTTGTGTTCTGTGAGTTGAGCCAAGGTAACCTGCTGCCAAAAGGTAGCCTGTTCCCAATTCTCTGGAAAAATAAGTTACTATATATAACTACCTCAATTGTAATTTCTGCTTGCGTGTACCAGGATCTAGTATACACACTAAATATGCAAAAATATAGTATCCAGCTCAATAGTATATATTTTTTCTTCATTGGCTATCAAAATCGATATGGTTCTACAGTCACCTAAGGGCTCCACGCCCGTATTCTTTGAGAACCAATGTCCTAAATGAGACTGTGCTCCCTCCCTCTGAGCTGGCGGAGACCTGATTCCTCTGCTCCCCTTGCCTCTGTATTCGCAGTTGGAATCTACAGCTGTGGATGGCATCAGTACTATTTAGCACTTATCTGTGAAGGTTGTACCCCACAATTTTTTAGTTACTTTGCTACTCCTAAAATTGATTCTTCTGTGAATGTCTTTAGTTTTATAATCTCAGTTGAGGATGTTAAAGCACAGATCAGTTCAAGGCATCCTTTGATACAGAGCCTCATCTCTTTGCTGAATTTCTTTTTTTTTTATCCTCACCTGAGGACATTTTTCCATTTTTTGTTCAGATAGAGCAGGAGGGAGAGAGAGGAAGAGAGAGAGAGAGAAACATCGATGTGAAGGGACACATCGAGTGGCTGCCACCCGCACGACCAACCAGGGCCGGGGACAAACTGCAACCGAGGTTCATGCCCTTAGCGGGAACCGAACCCGGGTCTCTCCGGACCGCAGGCCGACGCTCTAACCGCTGAGCCAAACCGGCCAGGGCTCTTTGCTGAATTTCTTAAATCATATTGCCTGTTCATTGTGGTTCCTGGAGTTGGCACTGACTCTTTTTCCCCAATGCTAAGTGAGGTAGGCCTCAGACATCAGGGCAGATGTGCATTTTTTGTGTAGAGTTGGTGGAAACATTGATCAAATGTTACTGTTGCAGAGAATCTGAAAATAGTCTTCTGCCATATACAACAGCAAAGTAATGCCAGATGAAAATAATTAGGGGGACATTTAAAGACCAAATTTATCTATGTCCGTGGATGCAGGATGGAGAGCAGTATTGCCATCCAAATCTGGCCCTTGAGAAGGCTTCCTAGAACTCCAGTGGGGTACAGACTGACTGGTACCTGGATAGCCTCAGAAGACTATCAGAAGATAAACTTCTTCAGAAACAGATTGTCAGCAGTGGCTCTAAGTTTCTTGAAGCATATTCCCTGCCTGGATATATAACCTGGGCTTATACCTAGAGAACCTAAAATTCTATAAGTTTTAGATTTGGGGAAAAGGCTGGGAGAGGAATGGCATGGTTGCTGTTGTATAATTGGTCAATGTATTGGTACTTAAAAAACAGGAGTGAGAATATCAGAAAATCGTTGCATTTCATTTTTTTAAAGGTATATCACTTTACTGCCCATTTCTAATATAGCATTGCTCAAAATATGATCCTGGTTATTGACATTTTGCAATGCAGATAAATTTTTAATAATTGATACATAATAAATCTCTTGTCCCTGTTCCCCTTTTTTTCATTTCTTTACTCTTGCAGCATTTCTCCCAAGTAGTTTCTGTATGTATACTACACTGATAGCCGTGACTGGGTGGTATATGGATAAGACTTCCACTGCTGTGCTTGGAGTAGCAGCAGGGGCTATCGTAGGCTGGCCATTCAGTGCGGCTCTTGGGTAAGAAATTATTATTTTTAGCTTTTTTTTTCAATCTTTATTGTTGAATGTATTACAGATGTTTCTCATTTATCCCCCATTGACCCCCTCCTCTCCATCCCCCATCCTTCTCCTGCCTTTTCCCACACTGTTGTCTGTGTCCATTGGCCATGCATATATGCATATAAGCTCTTTGGTTCATCTCCTCCCACCCCCCAAACCCCCCTTCTCTTTGAGGTTTGTCAGTCTAGCAACCAATTTGTTCTTAATCCTTTCACCTTTTTCACCCATTACTCCAACCCCCCTTCCATCTGGCAACTAACAAAATGTTCTCTGTATCTATGAGAATGTTTCTGTTCTGCCTGTTCATTTTATTTGTAGATTCCATTGTCGATAGCTATGTATTCATTGCCATTTTGTTTCTTCATATTTTTTATCTTTCTTCAAAAAGACCCTTCAACATTTCATATAATAACAGTTTGGTGGTGAGGAACTCCTTTAACTTTTTCTTGTCTGGGAAACTCTTTATATGGCCATCGATTCTAAATGACAGCTTTGCAGGATAGAGGAATCTTGGTTGTAGGTTCTTGCTTTTCATCACTCTGAATAATTCTTGCCACTCCCTTCTGGCCTGCAAAGTTTCTTTTGAGAAATCAGCTGACAGCCTAATAGGAACTCCCTTGTAGGTAACTAACTGCTTTTCTCTTGCTGCTTTTAAGATTCTCTCTTTGTCTTGAACCTTTTCCATTTTGATGAGGATGTACATGTCTTGGTATGGGCCCTTTGGGGTTCACCTTGTTTGGGACTCTCTCTGCTTCCTGGACTTGTATGTCTGTTTCCTTCACCAAGTTAGGGAAGTTTTCTGCCATTATGGTTTCAAATAGGTTTTTGATTTCTTGTTCTCTTTCTTCTCCTTCTGGCACACCCCAGATGCGAATGTTGGCACGCTTGAAGTTGTCCCAGAGGCTCCTTACACTCTCCTCATTTTTTGGGATTCTTTTTTCTTTTTGCTGTTCTCATTGGGTGTTTCTTGCTTCCTTATATTCCAAATCAATGGTTTGCTTCTTGGCCTTCCCTACTCTACTACTGAATCTGTGTAAATTATTCTTTATTTCAGTTAGTGCCTCCTTCATTTCTGACTGGTCCTTTTTTATGCTCTTGAGGCTCTCACTAAGTTTGCTGAGGTTCTCACTAAGTTCATTGAGTATCTTTATAAGCGATACTTTGAACTCAGCATCGGTTAGGTTGCTTATCTCCATTTCGCTTAGTTCTTTTCCTGGAGATTTTTTCTGCTCTTTCATTTGGGACCAGTTTCTTTGTCTCCTCATTTTGGCTACTTCCCTGTGTTTGTTTCTATGTATTACTTAACAGGAGGAATGAGGCTAGCTGAGACCAGATGCTGCTTGTTTGAAAGGATTTAGGAAAACCTGAAGCAGGATCCAAGACAGACCAATCCTATGGTTAAGCAACTGGTAACAGCTTGGATGGGCCTGAAAGTTGGGTGGGGCAGGGCCTCAGGGAATCACCAGGGCGGGGCTACCAGTATGAGCCCGGTTGCTGGAGTCCCAGATATGGCTGCTGTCTGTCGCCCCAGGGAAGGGCTCACCAAAGGAACAAAGGCCTCTGACAGCACGTCTGTCCTGGAGAAAGCCCCCTCTCCAGCCCTTGCTCCAATGCCAAACAGCTCAGTTCTTCCCTGTATGTCTTTGGCGCCCTTCAAGCTGCCTCCCCTCCAAGCTGAGAGAGAATGAGTCCGATAAGTTCGTTCACAGGCCTTTTAACAGGAGCTGCCTGGTGGGACAGGGACCCCTCAATCATCAGGAAGGACGTTCCCAACCGAGGTGTCCTCCTGATTTTTATTTGCAACACGTGGGTGTGGGACCAGCCCGTCCTCCTTTGCCCCTCCTACCAGTCTCAATGTGGCTGCTGCTTTAATTCCATAGTTGTAGGACTTCCATTCAGCTTGATTTTAGGTGGTTTTGAATGATGGTTGTTCTGTAGTTTAGTTGTAACTTTGATGTGGTTGTGGGAGGACACGATACCGTGTTTACCTACGCCGCCATCTTGACCGGAAGTCCAGAAATTATTCTTGCATGTATAAATGCATACACACACATATATATACATACCAAAATTCTTAAATAGAATTATTCTGTACACATGTATATCTTCTCTTGTACACAGATTTATATTGTTCTTCATATTGATTGCATAGAATTCCATTATATGGCTGTCCATAATTTATATAGCCATTGCCTTATTGGTAGCAATTTGGTTTTCATTATTTTGCTATTACACAGATTGCTTCAGTGAACATTTTTGTACATATGTCTACAGTCGGCCCTCATTTATCGTGGTTAATCAGTTCCAGACTCTACCACGATAAATGAATTTCCGTGAAGTAGGATTCTTTATTTATATACAGTCGTTCCTCACCACTTCGCACTTCGACTTTCGAAGTGGCGAGGGACGACTATATATATTTGTAGAAATTTATCTATGGAATACATTCGAGAATGGGAGTTACTAAGTCATTGAATAGACATTTTAAGTTTTCTTAATTTTCTTTTAAAGACTGGTTTCTCCACCTTCAATCTTTTCTTCTATTCTGTATATTATCCTCAAATTATTTTATTCTTCAAGATTTTGTTTGAAACTCTCTTCTTTACTCTCTGCTATCTCTCAGCCATCTTGATGATTCCCATACCTTTATATCTAGTTAATCATCTCTTCAGCTTCACTGATATATTCCTAGCTGCCTATTAGATTTCTCCACTTATATTTACAAAACCAAACTCATTACTTTCCCTCCATTACTGTTTCTTTACCTATATTTCTATCTAAGCAAATGGTACCACCATCTGTGCTGAGCCAGGAACCTACAAATTATCTGTGACTCTTCTCTTTCCCATATCCTATTAATTCATTATACCTCCTGAATATCTTTTGAATCTCACTACTTTTTTTTCACCAGTGACTGCTCCTGGATCACTCTATAGCCTCCTGAATGATCTTCCTGCCTCTAGTATTGATCCTTGTAAATCTACTCTCCACATTCAAACTAGGGTTATCTTTCAAAAATGCAAATGATTGTATCACTTTCTACTTTCAAACTCTCTAATAGCTTCCACATTGCTCTGTGTCCCAGAGGTTGGCAACCTGTGTTTGCTATTCTATTCTATTCTATTCTATTCTATTCTATTCTATTCTATTCTATTCTATTCTATTCTATTTTAATTTTGGTATGTGCCCCTGGTGGGAACTGAACCTGGGACTCTCTGGTCTGCAGGCCGAGGCTCCAACTGCTGAGCCAAAACGGCCAGGGCAGTGTGTTTGCAATTTTAAAGGGTTGTTACAAAACAACATACACACAAGAATATGCAACAGAGACAATATGTGGCCTTGCAAAGCCTAAAATATATGCTGTCAGGTCCTTTAAGAAGTTTGCCATCCCCTGTTTTACGGTATCCAAACCTCTAGTATGACTCACAACACCCTATATTTTCTCCTTTTTACCTCCCAGCCACCTTTTTATTAATTCCTCCATTGCTTTTACTCTTTACTCCAGCTATATTGAACTTCGGGAGTTCCCCAGATATCTCTGGTCAGTGTTTTGATTGGTCTTCCTTTAGCAGAGATGAGTAATTTCAGGATCACACAGCCAATTAGCAATCTACCATCATTTATTGCATCCTTTGTGCTAGGCATGACACTGATACTATGAAAAATAAAACAGTTCTGGTTCCTGTTCTTTTGGACTTTGCATTTCAGTAGGAAAAACGGACATTGAACAAGTAATTAAAAGTATGATGACTTGTGTGTACATGCCATTGAGTTGGCTCTTACTCCTGGTGACCCTGTGAGTGAGTGACACCCATAGTGTACTGACCTCAACAATCCTGCTCAGTTCCTGTAGGCTCAAGCCTGACTTCTATAGAGTCAATTCATCTTCTCTTTGGTCTTCTTTTTTTCTTGCTGCCTTCTATTTTTCCTAGCATTATTGTCTTTTCCAAAGAACCCTGTCATTATTAAAGGAGAAATACACCACATGGAAATGTAAATAGTTGGGGAGGAAAAAAAATGAAAACACAAATGTTAATGCAAAATTTAGGTAATAGAATGTAGAAATTCAAATGATAAAAGATAATGTCTGCAGCAGCACATGCTAAGTTAGTGATAGATATATGTGGAGGAGGTGGGGATAAAGCCCATTGTTGACCTTTGGGTGGATTCTGGGTAAATAGACTGGTGTGGGGAGGGAATTCTTTGTGTTGGAGCATGGGTAAAGGCTCAGACTAGCGTTCTAGAGTTGGAAGTCATGGATATTAAGGTGATGTTCATGCAACAGGAGTGGAAATACCTACTGAGAAAATGAGGATTGCTAGGAGAAAATGAGTGTAGAGAAAGAAAAACAGAAGCTTTTGGGGAGCTATGACCATAATAGGCACTACCATGGGGTAGGGAAAAATGAACTCTAGAAAGGAGCACTAGGGAAGAATCCAAAAAAGAACAGGAGCTAGAGAGTCTAAAGAGGAAGGAAGAGATGCATCATGCAAAGTGCAGAAGAAAGACAAAAGGAGATGAGACTTGTGAAGAAGTAGTGGGTGTGGCCAAGAAGTCCGTCTTAATAGCTTGATGCTAGGCCTTAAGGAATAAATAGTGAAGGCATCACACATATTCTTTGTTTAAAGAATTTAAGTGAAAGGAAGAAGAGCAAATGGTATTAGAAGAGGATATATCAGAATTGAAGTCAAGTTTGTAATATCGTATTGTTAAAATAGTAATATATCATGAAAGGGACAAATCAGTATTTATTTGGTAGGGTGGGTGTAGGACAGTAGGCTATATTTACTTATTATATTTTAAATGTCCATTATACATAAATATGTATAAAACAGAGCTCATTCCCGAAGCTTAGTATTTTTATTTCTTGTGATGGGTACTATGAAGATAACTGTGTATTTTTGAGAAGACATTCTCTCATGTACCACCTTTACTCTTCACTGTAACTGCTAAAGGCATGTTATTCTCAGTTCAGCAGGAGGTATGTGTGAATCTGACCTGTCTATATTCTCTAAGTATTTAACTCCCCACTTTCTATTTTTCTGTTAAATAGTTTACCTATTGCCTTTGACTTGCTAGTCATGAAACACAGATGGAAGAGTTTCTTTCATTGGTCACTGGTAGCCCTAATACTCTTTCTGGTGAGTTTTCTCTGTTTCTTGTTTTGTTCTAAAGTAATAATGAAAGCAACTTCTTTTTTAACATTTAATTTAATTTAATTTATTGGGGTAACATCTGTTAAGAACATTATGTAAATTTCAGGTATACAATTTTATAATATATCATTTATGCGTTTCACTGCGTGAAAGCAACTTCTGATGTGGGAAAGAGAACGTAAGGAGTTGATTTTGAAGTGTATCCTATTAGCATTGTGAGAATGTTTCCAGAGCAAAATTCTGCCATTGCTATGTGTTTTCTGCTCTGTTTCAGGTGCCTGTGGTGGTGATTGATAGCTACTATTATGGGAAGTTGGTGATTGCACCACTCAACATTGTTTTGTATAATGTCTTTACTCCACATGGACCTGATCTTTATGGTAAGGCTTTATGAGATTGGGCAAGAATTAAGAGATGGCTTAATTTGCCTGGGCTTTAAAATTTTAATTCAATTGCCTCATTTTATCAAATACGACATTTCTTTTCTGGTAATATTCTTTTCTTATTTAAAAATAAATGTCATTTGAATATAGTGCAGTGATGATATGTTGCCACTAAATATTTTTCCTCGATTAATGTGATATTTAGATTTAGCTTTCTTTTGGCCCTGCTGTCTGGTATGCTCAGTTTCAAAGTAGTGAGGACTCTGTTGGGTAGGCCATAGTTTTTGATACTACCTTTTTTTTTTTTTTTTGAAAAAAAGTTACTTTTTTCTCTTCTCATTAGAAAATTAATATGATAACAAAGTAAGAAAATAAAACCCTGGCTAGTGTGGCTCAGATGGTTGAGCATCATCTGCTGCACCCAGAGGTCATTGGTTAGATTCCTGGTCAGGACACATACCCGGATTGCAGGGGTCAGCTGATTGATGGTTCTCTCTCACTGATGTTTCTCTCTCCCTTCCCCTCTCTCACTAAAATCAATAAAAACATTAAAAATAATAATAATAAAATAAAAACATTTATAATCCCCTAATCTCCAGATAGCGATTGTTAAAACCTTGGAGTATATATTTCCAGACATTTTCTATACATATGTCAACATAAGAAACATTAAAACCGTCCGGCTAGTGTGGCTCAGGATTGAGTGTCGACCCATGCACCAAGAGGTCGCCAGTTCAATTTCCGGTCAGGACACATGCCCCAGGTTGTGGGCTAATCCCCAGTAGGGGACATGCGGGATGTGGCCAGTCAATGTTCTCTCTCAATGATGTTTCTACGTATCTCTCACTTCCTCTCTTTCTAAAATCAATGAAGGAAAAACAAATAAATAAAAAAGAAAAAAGAAACATTCAAACCTATAGAGAATTTTTGTGAATTTGAACCAAACTGTTGACAGTTTCCGGGAAGCAAAATCTCAACGGATTGAGATAATGCTTCAGAGAATGGCAGTTTTGCACCTTATTTGATACATTCCATCAAAAGAAAAGACATAAGTGAGTTACATGAAATCTGGTGATAGATTAGGGAGGTAGGAGAAAGCAAAGGGGGGAAACCTCTGGGATTGGATGAAAAGTAAAATGATAGACACACACATCTTTTGCATAGGTGGTACAGGGTGGTTGAATTAGTGAAGGCTACAGGGGGATAAACTAGAGAGATCTTTCTGATATGATCATGCAAGTCAGTAAACAATTTATGAGACAGTTTTTTATTAAAATAAGTGTAGTTTCTTCTGTCTTAAACTTTTGAAGTTCTTAGAGCATTCTATATGATTGTCTTGGGCCTCTGCTATAAAGCAGGCTAATATTCTCCCTGTGACTCATCAGTTTATGCCATGCCCACCATTTTTGTGTGCTACCTGGCCAATAGAACTGACAGATTGACTGAGGAGATTTAAGGAAGCATATGAATAAAATTTAATTGGGCATCCTGAGGTTGGAGGAATATAATATTTTTTTTTAGATGGCAAATAATAGGTTAAAGCAAAGTGTTTGGTTCAGTGACTGGAATTCACAAACAGCATGGTTAAAGAATAATTGCTAAATGAAGGAACTTCAAAATATTTCTTTATGACTCCAAGATCCCCAAGGGTATGAGAAAAAGCCCCAATTTTAATCATTTGCCTGTAGATGTCTCCCTTTAGCTAGGGAGGCTTTGCATGTTTTTAATTGCCCTTTGCTTTAGCTCACTTATAAAATTTTATTTGCTTCTATAATACAAAGGTGACTTCTTCAGGCTCAGGTAGCACATTAGAAATTGATTTACATGACTTCCCGTCAAGATGGTGTAGGTAAACGTGGTGGTTGCCTCCTCCCACAACCACATCAAAATTACAGCTAAACTACAGAACAGCCACCTGAAATCGAGCTGAATGGAAGTCCTACAACTACAAAAGTAAAGAAGCAGCCACATCGAGACTGCAATCAAGACTCAGTTAAAACAGAAGGATGTAAAGTCCACACAAGGGGTGCACCTTGAGGGCCCAGCTGGATGACCAGGGAGGCTGTGTTATTGGACCCTAGAGGACACCTACTACAACCGGCCACCCTAGGAAGCCTAGGAGACATAGCAACTCTACCTAACACATAGAAACAAACACAGGGAGGCAGCCAAAATGAAGAGACAAAGAAACATGTCCCAAGTTAAAGAACAGAGCAGAACTTCAGGAAAAGAGCTAAACAAAATGGAGATAAGCAATCTAACAGATACAGAGTTAAAAACACCGCTTATAAGGATGCTCAATGAACTTAGTGAGAATTTCAAGGAACTTAGTGGGGACCTCAAGAGCATAATAAAGGACCAGTCAGAAATGAAGGATGCACTAACTGAAATAAAGAATAATGTACAGGGAATCAATAGTAGAGCAGGTGAAGCCAAGAAGCAAACCATCGAATTGAAATATAAGGAAGCAAAAAACACCCAATCAGAACAGCAAAAAGAAAAAAAGAGTCCAAAAAAATGAGGATAGTATAAGGAGCCTCTGGGGCAACTTCAAGCGTACCAACATTCACTTCATGGGGGTGCCAGAAGGAGAAGAGAGAGAGCAAGAAATTGAAAACCTATTTGAAAAAATAATGACAGAAAACCTCCCTAACTTGATGAAGGAAACAGACATACAAGTTCAGGAAGCACAGAGAATCCCAAACAAGATGAAGCCAAAGAGGCCCACACCAAGACACATCCTCATCAAAATGCAAAAGGTTAAAGACAAAGAATCTTAAAAGCAGCAAGAGAAAAGTAATTAGTTACCTATAAGGGAGCTCCCATAAGACTGTCAGCTACTTTCTCAAAAGAAACTTTGCAGGCCAGGAGGAAGTGGCAAGAAATATTTAAAGTGATGAAAAGCAAGGACCTACAACCAAGATTACTCTATCCTGCAAAGCTATCATTTAGAATCGATGGCCATTATAAAGAGTTTCCCAGACACGTAAAAGCTAAAGAAGTTCATTACCACCAAACCAGCATTATATGAAATGTTGAAGCGTCTTCTTAAAGAAGAAGATAAAAAAATACAAACAATAAAATGGCAGTAAATACATATCTGTCAACAATTGAATCTACAAACAAAATGAGCAAGCAGAACAGAAACACATTCATAGATACAGACAACTTTTTGTTGGTTGCCAGATGGGAGGGGGGTTGGGGGTGGGTGAAAAGAAGGGAGTAAGAAATACAAATTGGTTATTGGACTGACGAACCTCAGAGAAGGGGGAAGGTGGGATGGAAGAGAGAAACCAAAGGACTTACATGCATGACCAATAGATATAGACAATAGTGTGGGGAAGGCAGAAGGAGGGAAGGGGGTAAAGGGGAGGGGAAGGAGGGGCATCTATAATTCATTCAACAATAAAGATAAGTTAAAAAAAAGAAATTGATTTACATGGAACCTATTGGAAGCATGATATCTGATATGTCTGGGTGAACAAACTGATAATTTGAGTTTAATTTTGAAAATTTGACATCTCCACTTTTTATTTTATTTTAAATTCTTATTCGAGGATACTTTTTTCTTATTTTCATCTTCAGATAGAGTGGGAGAGAGAGAAATATTGGTATGAGAGATACACATCGATTGGTTGCCTCCCACACGACCCTGACCAGGGCCGGGGACTGAACCTCAACCAAGGTACGTGCCCTTGACCAGAATCAAACCCATGACTCTTTGGTCTGCAGGCTGACACTCTACCGCTGAGCCAAACCGGCCAGGGCGACATCTCCACCTTTTAAATGGGTTATTACATACTGATGTTCTGACTGCTTATTTGTAAAACTTTGTGTTACAGTATGTGAATCATATATATATTTTTTATCCTCACCTGAGGACATTTTTCCATTTTTTTGTTCAGATAGAGTGGGAGGGAGAGAGATGAAGAGGGAGAGAGAGAGAGAAACATTGATGTGAAAGGCACACATCGAGTGGCTGCCACCTGCACAACCAACCAGGGCCAGGGGCAAACTGCATCTGAGGTACATGCCCTTAGCGAGAACCGAACCTGGGTCTCTCTGGACTGCAGGCCGACGCTCTAACTGCTGAGCCAAACCGGCCAGGGCTGAATCATATTTTTAAAATTTATTTTTATTGTTGAGAGTATTACAGATGTACCCCATTTCCCCCCTATATCCCCCTTCACCTGGCTTATGCCCCGCCCAGGCCTTTACCACACTATTTGTCTGTGTCCATGGGCTATGCATATATACATATATGTTCTTTAGTTAATCTCTACATGGTATATGTCTCCACTTGTTTGTATCTTCCTCTGTTTCTTTTTTCCTATGGTTTCCTGAGTACAGGTCTTTTACTTCCTTGGTTCAGTTTATTCCTAGGTATCTTATTTTTCTGTTGCAGTGGTAAGTTTTGTGGGGGTTTGTTTAATTTCTCTTTCTGAGAGTTCATTATGGTGTATAAAAATGTCATTGATTTCTGGATGTTGGTTTTATATCCTGCTACTGTGCCAAATTCATTTATTAAATTTAGGAGTTAATTGGTGGAATCTTTATGATTTTTTTTTTTTTTTTATCCTCACCCGAGGACATTTTTTGTTCAGGTAGAGTGGGAGGGAGAGAGAGCGAGGGAGAGAGAGAGAGAGAAAGAGAGAGAGAGAGAGAGAGAAACATCGATGTGAAAGGGACACATCGAGTGGCTGCCACCCGCACAACCGACCAGGGCCGGGGACAAACTGCAACCAAGGTACATGCCCTTAGCGGGAACCGAACCCGGGTCTCTCGGGACCGCAGGCTGATGCTCTAACCGCCGAGCCAAACCGGCCAGGGCTCTTTATGATTTTTTATGTATTAGATACCATGTCATCTGCGAATAATGAGAGTTCTACTTCCTCATTTCCAATTTGGATGCCTTTTAGTTTTCTTCTTGTCTGATCACCGTGACTAGGATTTCTAGTACTATGTTGAATAAAAGTGGTGAAAGCCAGCATCCCTGC